TATGGTAGATCTCAAATCAATGAAGGCTACACTCAGAAAGACCTCAAGACTTTTGGAATATGCTGCTCAAACAATTTCACTTTCGTTTCTACTGCCTGTCCCTCCCTTCTCACATTTACCTCCAGACTTCTCCTTGTCCAGATCTTTTAGAGAGAGGTAAGGGATTGACTCTGCGTACACAAATTTGCAGAGGGACAATAGGTCTGTTATTTCTCACTTCTATGTATTATTTATTTATTTAAAACATTTTTGCTGATAACAAGCATATCTCTGGAGACACAAATCCACAGTTTGAGAACTGCAAAACTAAGCATCTCTGATGCTATCTTCTAGACTGAGCACTGAGTCCCATTGGGTAGATAGAAAGATTAGCCCCTGGAACCCCATAAGATTGGGTCCCTAATCCATGAACTATTGGAACTCATTTACAAAACTTTTCTTAAACATTACATGAATGTATTGGGTCATACTATAGAATTAGAATTTATAATCCCTATTCCATGATGAGATATCTTTGAGCTATAATGTATCTTAATTAAAACTCTTTAGATAGGTTTTTTTCCCCTCAAAAAGCATTTAATAAAAAAAAATACGATTTTTTTTTTAAATCATTGATTTTTATCCACCCTGGTCTGTACACCCCGACAGGCAGTCAACTCAAGTAAAAAAGCACCATCATACTGTAGTGAAGGGGTTTTGTGTATTGACAGGACTAGAGCTAGGGTCAACACTCAAGTTATAACTTGAGTTAACTCTGAAGTGAAGACAAGCCCTGGGTCTGTGATCTCTTCAGATCTTATAAGCTAAGCCAGGGTCAGGCTTGGTTACCTAATGCTGTAAAAAGTGCTGATGGCGACTGTTATGGTTCTCGGGATACCCAGGACTGTGAGTCATCTTATTACCCTCTGTCTCCAGCATGAGGGAGTCTTGCCTGTGCCTTGCTGGGCATCAGCTCCCTAACACCAGCCTGTCAGCCACTGAAGCACTCTCCTCTGAACTATGCCAGTCCTGTCTTTACCTTTCAGATTAACAGTAGGTGCATCCTGGTCCCTGAATCCCTTCAAGAGTTCCCCTGTGATATCCAGCCCGACACTAGCTACTGTCAGAAATCCCAGATCCGCTGCCCCCAAAGGCACAGTGTACTGCAGTTTACTAGTTTTATCTTAAATCCTCTCCTCTATATAATGCACAGCATTTATGAGCACTTAAAAGAAGATTAAGAAAGAATGGATGTTCCACTGGAAATGAGAGAGTGGTGGAAACAAATGGTTAAAATACAAAGCAAAATCCTAAAGGATGAACCTGGGTCTACGTTCATGAATAATTACCTTTCCTATCTAAAAAAGTAGGTCCCCCCCCACCCCCAAAAAATGTACAGTCTGTGGCAGATCTGGCTGGCTTCACAGACCAGGATCCAATTTTTCATGAGAACATTCCTGCGCCTCAAGATGTTTCCTCCTCAGTGTAAGTATATAGAGTATCTCTCCATGCTCTGTTTTGTACTGAAACAATCTTTTGTCTCTATTCATAGGCAGGGTAATTCTCTGTCTGTTGTAGTGTTTCTTTTTTACCTCCAAGTGGTTTCGATAGTTTGCAGTTTCCTCCGATGGTTTTCCATTGAAAATCTTGAGAAGGGAGCAAGGCTAGACAATTGAGCCTTCATCACTGGCTAACCAGGACAGGGGGTGACATCTCCTTCCTGTTTGAATGAGCCATCACAGAGATACATTATCCCCTGGTGACTTACTTCTGCTCCAAGTCCATAAAGCATACTTTCAGTATAACTACATTGTTCCTTAAATATTGCCCATACATGCATCTTGCAATGGTTATGAATCTTGACAAGTTACAAGCTTTCCATAGATACCTTATATATTACTATTTATGGATAATTATCCTGCAAAACATGTTTGCTGTAGTGAGTTTGTCAGGTCTGAGGTGAGCTGTTTGCAAAGAACAGGGGACCCTTTGCCAAGCAGCCTCTGTGTCTCAGCGATTCAGTAGGCTATACTCTTCCTTCTGAGCTGGTGCTGATTCAATGTCCCAGCACAGTGCATGCTGCTTGGGGTACCCTTTTTTTTTTCTTCAGATGAGACATCAGTTTCTGATCACTTGTGGTCATTAAAGATTTTATGGTGATCTGCCTGAATTTCATTTTAGGTAACTATATTCTGTCTAGCAAAATTCTCCCTGTAGTTTGTTAGATACAGTATTCTTCAACCTTAGAAAGAAGGGAGTGGTCCTGTGGTTCAAGTGTAGAATTGGAAACAAGAATTTCTTGTTCTGCTCCTTGGCTCCATCACTGTATACTTTGAACAAATCCCTTAACTACTTTGTTCTCCGTTTTTTCCAGTGTAAGGCTTGTTTAATGTTTATAAAGCACTTGGAGAGACTCGTAGGAAAGGCACAAGAGAATAGTATATTTTTGTTGATTGTAGTTCCTTCTTTTCCACCCAGCCTCTCTGTAGCTTCTTCGTAAAGTGAAAAAGATCAGTGGTTAACATCACCATTTCATAAAGCAAAATAGTAGAAGACTGATACTTTTGTACAGGAGAGAACGACAACCTTGTGGGACTTCAACCATTTTGTAATAGAGACTGAAAAGGAACTTGAGTGAAATACTGGTTTCCACAAATGTTAATGAAAAAACCAAGTTCAGGTAGATCATAAATACAGTGCACAGCCCGTGTTTTCAAAAACAAACTAAACTGCATATTTTTTTTCCCCACGCACGACTGTAGCGCCCAACAAGGTATTGTATGAAAGGGGTAGATAAAACTGGCCTGTCTTCCAAAATAGGTTGATTTCCTAACTGTAGTAGGTTGACCTTTTCCCTCGTAATCAACTATGTATCAAAATATATATAACAATCAGTTCCTTTTTTTAACCAGAAGCCACTGTGACATGTCTGCTACATGTATTTACTTGAAGGTTCACACATGAAAGAGTTGGGCTATCAGCCTGGACAGTGTAGTTGGTATGTCACTACCAACCAGCATCAGCTGAGTAGAATTTCCAGCTTCCCAGTCACAGAAGATGAGGATGACACATGCCAGTGCCTTGTGCATATGTGTCCTTTGCCATGTGCTCAGCAAATAAATGCTGTTTTTTAAAGTTCACGTTTAAAGGAGTAAAGTCTTTATGGGCAAGTATCCACGCTGATGATGATCTAGAGGTGGAAAGACATATTAGGTCATCCAATCCATCTCCCTGATGGTGAAGGTTTTCTACCTACTGCATGTTACTATACATACAACATGATGGGGACTAATTTAGCTACAACCAATCAGGAAAGAGATCTTGGAGTCATCGTGTATAGTACTCTGAAGACGACCACGCAGTGTGCAGTGGCAGTCAAAAAAGCAAACAGGATGTTAGGAATCATTAAAAAAGGGATAGAGAATAAGACGGAGAATATCTTATTGCCCTTATATAAATCCATGGTATGCCCACATCTTGAATACTGCATACAGATGTGGTGGTCTCATCTCAAAAAAGATATACTGGCATTAGAAAAGGTTCAGAGAAGGGCAACTAAAATGATCAGGGGTCTGGAACAGGAGAGATTAAAGAGGCTCAGACTTTTCAGCTTGGAAAAGAGGAGACTAAGGGGGAATATGATAGAGGTATATAAAATCATGAGTGGTGTGGAGAAAGTGAATAAGGAAAAGTTATTTACTTGTTCCCATAATATAAGAACTAGGGGCCACCAAATGAAATTAATGGGCAGCAGGTTTAAAACAAATAAAAGGACATTCCTCTTCACACAGCGCACAGTCAACGTGTGGAACTCCTTGCCTGAGGAGGCTGTGAAGGCTAGGACTATAACAAGGTTTAAAAGAGAACTAGATAAATTCATGGAGGTTAAGTCCATTAATGGCTATTAGCCAGGATGGGTAAGGAATGGTGTCCCTAGCCCCTGTTTGTCAGAGGGTGGAGATGGATGGCAGGAGAGAGATCACTTGATCATTACCTGTTAGGTTCACTCCCTCTGGGGCACCTGGCATTGGCCACTGTCGGTAGGCAGGATACTGGGCTGGATGGACCTTTGGTCTGACCCAGTATGGCCATTCTTATGTATGTTCTTATGTTTGATACTGCTGTTTTGCTCCTTCAGTATATTTCCTGGACAGAGCACCTGTCATTCCAAAGTGCTTTACAAACTTTTACTAAGCAATTTAATTCTTTGCTTTGGGAATAAAGTGTAGTCAGATCGAGGAGAAGAAATGACGCACACCTGCATTCAAAGACTATTGATTGAGAATGCTAAGGGTACATTTATCTTCCAAACTTTCTCCCCTCAAATCTAATATAGTTTGAAGGGAAGCTGAAACTAGTCAACCCATTCCCACCTAAATTTCCCCCTTCACCTTCTTCCCCTTTCCTTATCCTTTTGAGCCTTTAAACACATCTCTTTCTTTCTATTCCTCTCATCCGCACCCTCACTGCTATTCACATTTAAAATTACATTATGTTTTAAGACACACATCCCCTGAACATTTAAGCACATGTAATTATTATTCTTTTTTTATTTGTATTACCGTAGCACGTAGGCACCCCCGTCATGGACCAGGATCCCAGCATGCTAGGTTCTATACAAACCTAGAACAAAAAGGTGATCCCTGCCACAAAGAGCTTACAAACCATGTGTAATCGTGCATCTTCTCCCCTTGCTCACCTTCTGTTTTGTCTTGTCTTATGTCATATCTTCATTTAGATTGTAAACTCTGAGAACAGGGACTGTCTTTTTGTCTGTAAAATGCTACTGTACTTTGGGTGCTACATATGCAGGTCTCTTACATCTAGGCTATTGTTTCAAATCTAGGCATGCTCAGTAGTCAGCAAAAGTCATTTCTATGTGACTGTCATTCTTTAGGCATCAATAATGAAAGGTGGTCTTATCCTAGTTCCTGGTGAGTATTGTGCAAAAGGAACACCAGCCTTGTTGATGGTCTCTCTGCTGAGGCAGAAGACCAAATGACTGTTGAGATTGAACTCCTCTCCTTAGAGGTTGTTGCTTTAGGTTCTCGGTTAAGGCAGATTGACGAGAGTATGGGGAAGCTAGCCTCTGCTTGTGTTGTGTATCTCCTGTGGATTAATGGAAGACTAAGGTCTCCAGGGCTGTCATTCTGACACCATTCATCAAATGCTACATTTGCTTTAAAACAAACCAAAAAAAGCAATTGCTGTCCTGTCAAATGGGGATTAAAACACACTTCCATTAACATGGAAAGTCTTTTACACAGATTTTTATCATTCTAATCAAGTTCATTTTACTGACTGATTTTTTTTTTCCTTTTCTTTTAGAGGGACGTTCATATAGTGACTTTGGATGCACCTCATGGAGGGAGTTTTATAGCTACATGAAGTGGTCAGTTCCGGCCTTTCTGTACTTTTTGGATAACCTGATTGTTTTCTATGTATTGTCCTACCTCCAACCAGTAAGTATACACAGACCAAATAAAATAGCATTGAAATGATGCAAGTCTCTCTCTTGTTGGAGGTTTGCTAGTTGGGGTTTCATGGTCCTGCAGTTGATCTGTCTAAGGCTGCCCTGTACACAAGGACTGTTTCTATTAATCCCTTCCATCCACCTGCCCATCAGATCCTGTTTTGTAGCTTCCAGTTGGGAGAGAATCTTTCTGAATTATCTTCTTCCTTCCTGATTTAGAGGTAGCGTTGAATGGCTTCAAAGTGATGCAAGACTTGGTCCTTCCTTCTCCTTTCTTGAGCTCAGCATATCTGTTTGATTTGAAGGGGGGATTTTGAGTCCCATCCCCTATACAGCTCCTACCATTAATGTCTTTATATGAATGACTTCATTCAGTCACTTTTGTATTTTGCTTTCTTCTATTTTGCATCGATACCATTATGATCAAACCCCAAAAGTGAGAGGAAGGGGAGGTGGAAAGAGTGTTGGATGCTGATTTTTTTGCATTTAATTACCTCTCGTACCTGAGCTAGTATCCAGTGTGACTGACATTTGCTGCTTTTATTCATAGAACCTGGAATCAATCTACAAATGTTCAGAAAAATTGTGATCTTCATTTTAAGCCTGGGATGTATTTTTTTTTTTTTGGTTCAAGTTTTATTAGTGTTGACTATAAAATAACAGGGAATTCTCAATATATTTATCATGACACTAGAGAAACTATAGTTAAACTCAATCTAAACCTTTATTTTCACTCTCAGGCTATCTCAAAAAATTGTCCTTTAAGGCTCAAATTTCTGGCATGGACAGCTGTAGTCAACAGGACTGTTGCTTTTGCCTGGTTTGCAAACATCTGGTTTTAGGGGAAAAAAGGTCTGGGTGATTTAAAATAACATATGCACTGCTTTAGTAACTTTTGAAAGGTGAGCACAGATATAATGCCCTGAATAATTACAGAATCTAATGTTTGAAAGATTACATCTACATGCAGTCATTTTCTTAAATAAGCAACTTGGCTTTTGGTTGAGGGGATCTTTTATAAAGATCATACAGCAAGCTTGTACACACACTAGTAATTTGTATTTCTTCCCTTAGAGCGAACGCTGTTCAAAACCCTCCATTTCCATTATATAATTTTTTCTTTAACTTTCGATCTGGTATATTTCATAGAGGTTTATTAAAATTGTAATGCTATAATGGTAAAACAAGAATGAATAATAACATTTCCGATATTTAAGTGCATCCTGGGCTGAATAAATTCTGGAAGGCATGATAAGCTGCAATTGAAGAGACAGTAGCTAGTTGCATGAAAGAAGATGCATGTAAGCCTTGTCTCATGTGATTTTAAAAACTAAGTAGGTATGGGTCTTACTAGTACTTGAATGAGTGACTGCCTGAAATACCGAGGGCTCTATGCTTGGAGCAGTGGCTGTTCTTAATTATTTAATGTGACTTGTAAATATAATTTCATGTTCTGTTATCTGATGTGTTGCGTAGTGGTCTCTGGTAGATTTGGCTCCGATTCCTGCCCTGTTGTCTTGTTCCTTGGGACATCTGTAAATAAATACTGGAAAACAATATCCAGTAGATATTGCACCATAGGCTGTTGGAGACGGGACATAATAAAAATTTTGGTTTGTACTTTGATTGATGACCACAAAGCAAAAACAAAAATGTAAATGGAGCGTATGTTTCAATTTTGTATCCGTCCCTGTATCTGCTAGTCCATCTCTTGAAGAACCTCTGTCAGTTCTGGATTCACTTATCTAGTCAAATATTTTTCTTACTTTTAAAAGCAGAACTAAGGAAATTTTATGCTTAATGGTCTAGTAACAGTTTTAAAAATGAGACTTTAATTTCACAAGTCAAGAAAATCAGAGGAAACTTTAACTGACCTCTTGTGTGTATTCATTGCACTTAGCATCTTTGATTAAATGGGAACACAGTACTGGAAAATGTGACCTGCTACTTGGCAAATAATACACTGGATTATAATAGAAAGGAACTGCCCCTTTTACTGGTTAACGCAAGACAACATTAATGCAAAGTTAGGGTTGTGAATTTAAAGACATAAGTCATGAAGGTCAGAATATACGCACAACATGGAAATTATTTATATAAATATTTGATTAAAATCTATTATGTAACGAAGAGATCTTTCTTCATAAAGGTCTACTGCAGGGAGAGACTCAAGGTAAGTTAAACCCAGATTTCTGTGTTTGTCGCTCTTTGTTAAACAGGCTGAGAGATAAGGAGAGGTATATGACAGAAAAATATTTTTTTAAAATACTTTTTAACCTCTGTTTCTGTTCGGGATTCATTAGAGTTGCACCAGAAAAACATTGTTCTGGGACATAAGATACTACAAGTCTCATATGGCCACTGGCTCCTGTGGTGCCAATGATGTACTATAAATGATGCATTCTCAGATGTCTTCAATGATCCCTTGACCTGGTTGATGAGGGCAGTAATTCAGTTTTGAATTTTGCTTGGCAGTTCATGTTTAAAGACTAGGGTCATGGCATGTCAGACATATTAATGGGAACCCACTACTTCCTAGCTAAGTCAGCCTGGAATGACTTTGAGGACATGGTTAAGATTATAGAAAATCCCCGTGGGAACCTGAATTGAGAATCTTCTGACTCTTAAGACTTTTTAAATTGTGGTTCTGCTCTGAAAAATGCCATTGTTTATGAAGTATCCAAATCAAATTTGTTCCCATTTCCCAAATAAAACAGTGTTGTTGTTTTAATTAATGCTGCTGCAAGCTTGCCCTGGGTTCTTGCCTTCCATTCATTATCACAAATAATGAAGATTTTGCAGACCAAATTCTTCCTTCAGTTACACCTGTGCAGACCCGTTGTCTTCAAATTATGCTCTGTTACATCTGTGCAACAGCATTAGGCTAAATCTACACTACGCGGCTTTTAGCAACACTAAACATTTGTCTTTTGGGAGAGGTGTTTTTTTTTTTAACACTTCTGAAAGACAAAAGTTTTGCTGTTCAGATGCCAGTGTAGGCAAAGCCTTAGTCTTGTAATTGATAGCTAGTTGATAATTCTATTGATGAGTAAGCCAGAATAGACTCCAGGAGCTGTATTGGTTATGCACAGCTAGCCAGAGTAAAAAATAGCAGGCACTCCACTTTTTTTTTCTTTCTTTCACTAAAATCTGTAGATCTGACTCTGATACTCACAGAAAATAGGATTAGGAAGGATCCATTTTTACACAGTCACTTTCCAGAGTAGAACTGTGATTTATACATCTGTTTTCATGCGCACTCTTGAGATTGTAATAATGCTCAAACGTCAGAGTACAAACAGCAAAAAAAAATCTGAACGTACGCCACAATTGAAATGACTAAATATTCTATGTATTAAAATTCTAACTCATGGCTGTAAAAGAAATTTATTGGCCCAAAGTGCTTGATCTAGCGCTCAGTGAAGTCAGTGGAAGTTTTTCCAACTCTGTTTAGCCCAGGGTGAAATCTGCCCCATTGCAGAAAACCCTAGCAAGATTCTGTGCACCACTTAAGCCATTAATGTGAAACTGGCATTTAGGATCTTGTGTGGTTCCTCCTTGCAAGAGTGAATTTCGCCCCGAGTGAAAGGTCTGTCCCAATATGATCACTTTTTGCTGTGGGGTCTTCTGATAGATGAACACTGTGAGTTGATTTTTGTTGGTCAGATTCTGTCTGGATTGTAATTTTTCCCCTGTCTTCTTTTTCTAGGCCATGGCTGTATTATTCTCAAATTTTATCATTATAACAACTGCGCTCCTATTCAGGATAGTGCTAAAGTAAGTAGCTATGAAAGCAAATAAAACATTGGGGAAGTTATGTGGATTCCTTCTCTCCACATGAGGGCTATAGTATTTTGAATACTCTGTATTTTCTGTAGTCTTTGGCATACAAGCGCGAATAATGGCTAAGTGGTTTAACTGTTACTGTAGGTATGAAATACTTAGTTTAATTGGAACCACAAGTTTAAATTTCAGCTTATTTGTCTCAGTCCTTCATTCTTCTGTAATGGATAAATAAAATCATTATTGTATTGTAATGTTGTCTCCATTGTGAGTCGTGCAGGGGCTTCTCTTAGGCAGCTGGGGGAGGCACTTGAGCACACTGCCTCTTTGGTGTCTGAGATGAAGCTCTAGGGAAATCCTCACCCCATTGAAGTTAATGGGAATTTTATCTGCTCAATGGAGCTGAGATTTCCTGCTCTCTCTCTGGGTTTGCCTGTGGTGTGGAGGTTTCTCCGTGCCACGTGTCATTTGTTTTCAAAATGCTGAACACCTGTCCCTGTACTCTAAAGGTTTGGGGTTTTTTGTCTCCACGCAGACGGCAGCTCTCCTGGGTGCAGTGGGCATCTCTACTGATTTTGTTCCTGTCCATCATAGCCCTGACTGCAGGGACCGGAAGCAATCAGCACAGCTTGGCCACACACGGGTTTCATCATGACATGTTTTTCAGCTCATCTAATCGCTGCCTTCAGTACACCAGGCCGGAGGAAGAGTGCTGGGGAGGAGACAACTGTACAGAAACAGGGTTCTTTCCCAGCTTCAAGTGGAATGTCACTGCTACCACTGCAGGAGCATTGAAACCTCTCCGCCTCGGCTTGGGCCATCTGCTGATAATAGTGCAGTGTTTCATCTCTGCTTTGGCCAACATCTATAATGAAAAGATCCTGAAGGAAGGGGACCAGCTCAATGAAAGTATATTTGTGCAGAACAGCAAGCTATATGTCTTCGGGGTGCTGTTCAATGGGCTGATGCTGGGCCTGCGCTCTGAGAACCGTTGGCAGATAGAGTACTGTGGCTTCTTTTATGGCCACAATGTGTTCTCTGTAGCTCTCATTTTTGTCACTGCCTTCCTGGGGCTGTCCGTGGCCTTCATTCTGAAGTTCCGAGACAACATGTTCCACGTCCTGACTGCACAGATCACCACTGTGATCATCACCATTGTATCCATTGTCATCTTTGACTTCAAGCCTTCTCTGGACTTCTTCTTGGAAGCACCTGTGGTGCTTCTTTCCATATTTATCTACAATGCCAGCAAACATCAAGGCCTGGAATATGCCACTCAGCAGGAGAGGAACAAACTCCTCGGTGAGATCTGGGAGCGATCCAGCGGGGTAAGGCTTTGAAATGCTTGTGTCTCTGGTTGACTCCCTTTCTCGCAGGCTGTTTACCCAGTTGACCATTCAGAGTTCACTACACGCGTGGCTGGACTCATAATTCAACCAAATTGTCACTTTCATTTAAATGACACAAGATCAATCTCGGTCTTGTAAATAAATCTTTGTTTAGCTCCGTACTTCTATGTGTAGCTTCCTCTTGTTTCCTGATGCCTGGCTGAAGCTTTACCTCTCTGCTCTGACCTCAGATGATTCTTCAGCCATCTTGGCTTGAACATTCTTTTAGCATTTGCAGCCAAATACCCCATCAAACCCAAATATCCCAGCATTATACTGGGGAACTGATTATAAACAAGGAAAATTGACTAGTCTGTTTTCACAGCCCAGGTTCAGCTAAATGCAGAAAGTAAACATATAGCATAAATGGAGGAAAATAAATTAGATATTTAAAAAATTTTCAACTTTAACAGTCTAAGATGTTTTAAGAAATTCAGGTAAGATTTTTTTTTTTTAAGAAACGCAGGTAAAGATATTTTTAATGTAAGATTTTCAACAGGGTAGTTGCCCCTTCCTCATGAATCAGTTCCTCCAGCCTCCTGCTATAATTTCTGCTCTTCTGTGAACGAAGATCCAGATGCTTAAAATCTAGGAAAATCTTTGTGGGGAAGGGGCTTGCTCCCAGACCTCACATTCAGGTGAACTGAGAAATAAGTCTGCAGTATTTATAGTGTATTTATGGTCTGTGAGCAGCAGAGGGCACTGTCTGCATTTAGTCCTGGGAAACTTCATTTATCCCAGAAAGAGGAGGGTCGATGTTTCCTTGGAATTCTGCACAGTGCTATTGCAGAGTGATATTTAACAGTAAATAACACATATAGTCTCACATTTGTAAAATCAATCACTGCATGTTTCAGCAGATGTAATTAATTAGTTACAGTACAAGTTATTCAGCACCTATGTATTTGCCAACATAGGAAGGGACACATCTATTAATTGAATACAGTGCAATTGGTAAGATTTCAGGAAGGACACCATGGAAAAATGGTAAATATTTAGCTATAAAAAATATCTAGGGACTGTCCTTCAGGAACAGCTATATATGTTGTATCTTAAACAAGGATCTTAGTGTCCCAGGACAAAAGCTTTTAAGTACAGGTCCTTGATTTTGCAGTTGTCACTGGACTGCTGCAGGGTAAGTATTACTAACAAGAAGAAAATTTGCTAATGCTGTTACTATCTTCTTCCCCTCCATTTTTCGGCTCCTGTAGGATGGAGAGGAACTTGAGAGACTGACCAAAGCAAACAGTGACATTGATACAGATGAAGATGCCTTCTAGCATGAGCTTGTGCAACTGAGTGCTGGGTATTCTCCAAGAGAACAGTATTGGTATCTTTTTAAACTATGGGATAGTCTTTTTTCTAAGTGCAACAGTTAAAACTGTTTGGATGGTTTTGTGATTCCAGAGGATGTGTATTGTGTTTTTAAGTTGTGCAAATAAAACACAGCTCCAAGATCAGAATAGGGTGTGTCCAGGTTTGGGGCTGGGATGTCCGATGAGAAAAAATGAGTAAAGCCCATTGGATTTCAGAAGTTGACAAGGAAAACTAGAGAATTATCAGTTCGAGCCTTATATATTAAGGGGTTTTTTTCTCTTCTCACACTAGTGTAAATCAGCAGTTAATTCCAGTGCAGTCAATGATAAACTGATAATAAAAGTTGTATATGAGAGAGGTTTGGCCCTAGCTTAATGATTTGGGTCACATGGGTGCTGTATTATGTATAGTAATCCAGAACACTCAGTGTCCTCAATTGCACGTGTTTGTCTATCATACACTAGGGTTGTATAGGGGTAATAATATTTCTCACTGGTGAAGGGCCTGATCCTGTAAACCTCAGATCCATGATCCTGATTCAGTTGAGAATAGTCCCATTGAATGGGCCCCTAACATTTGTAAAGTGCTTTAAAGATATGAAGTGTTATATAAGTTCTAGGTATTCTTATTTCCAGGGCTACATGTTCATTGGTATCGTGCACCCCTCTGCAATTTGATTAAGGGATGATTCCACAGCTGCAGAATGAGTTTCCTCATTTCTGCAGTGATTTGCAGGCACTGCTGCTCCTATGTGTCCTGTGGAACATTACACCCAATTATAAATCATTTATAAATAAATAAATAAATAAATAAAAATTCTGTTTGTTTGGTAACGTGATTAGTGTTGCACAGTGGCAGAGAAGCTTTCCTGATATTCAGAATACAAGCTTTTAAATAAACAGAGGGTTCATATACTTTCCTTTGGGGAAGTAATTTCATTCTTACTCTACCTGGAATTGCAGTTTGCCCATCACAAGACATCAGGGATTTTCATTCTAGTTCACTATAAAAGTAACAGAGGGTCCTGTGGCACCTTTGAGACTAACAGAAGTACTGGGAGCATAAGCTTTCGTGAGTAAGAACCTCACTTCTTCAGATGCAAGTAATGGAAATCTTCAGAGGCAGGTATATATCAGTGTGGAGATAACGAGGTTATATATACCTGCCTCTGGAG